TTGCTCAACGTCAGGCTGCCTTCTGGAGTTCTCAGTATTATGGAGGTCACAGGGATACTCTTATCTTTATGTTCTTTTATGGCTTTGGTAAAGGGTAAAACTGCTAGCTAGACTGGCTACTTTCACAGTTCAAGGTTAAAGGTGATTTTCAAAGGACAGGGTGTGATACCATGCTTTTCCCCAAACTCATTTTCCATTACACCTGATTGTTCAGCATTCAGCATTCATTCATGAACAATTTGTTGAATATACACCATTTGCCTAGCCTGGTGCAAGCGTTAGTTATCTAAAATGATTACCTGATTGAGTTCAGGTTTTAGAACTCTGTCCATCTGAAAGAGGATGAGGAAGGGGTGTCTCTTTTTCTCTCTAGCCAGAGATCAAGGGCACAGTGGCCCAGAACAGAGCCTGCCCTGCCCGGGACTACTGGGCTCATGCATGCACATAAGCACACCTGATCTGTCCTATAAAGTATGCTTGACCTTGAGCTTTGTGGAGGCAGCAACCATGTCTGTTTTGTGCCCCACACAGAGTCTGGCCCAGAGCAGGTGCTCAATGACGGTTGAATAAATAATTAAGCAATTCCTTTTACCAATCCACTAGAACTCGAGCTGGTTGCTTCATTGCCCTGTGCCTTCATTTCCTCATTTATAAAGTAGGGATAAAGAGAGTACTCATTTCACATGACAACCTTGAGATCCCATGAGATAATACAAGGCACACAATGAGCACCCAATACACTATAGTCAATGTTTCTGTGAAGGGGCATGAGAGACATGCATTTCTATGCCAAGAGTGGCCTTCCATCTTCTATTACCTTGTGACCTGGGTTTTTGTTTCTTAAAGCAAAGCTGAAGGGTGGCCCAGCTACAACGACTCACTCTGCTATGTTAAGGAATGTTAAGACCCTGAGGTCTAAGACCCTGGGGATGAGGCAGACATGGTAACCCTGAGAAGGCATATCTGGTGCCCCCACCCTACACAGCTTGGGCCAGTTAGTTCCTACATTACACTGTGTCCAATGTGGTGTGTGTGTGTGTGTGTGTGTGTGTGTGTGTGTGTGGTGGAGGAGGGGGTTATATTTTGGAAATTTTAGTGCTTGACCTGAAATCACAGCTCCAGAGCAACACCAGCTAGCTCCTCACCAAACCGTCCACCACTAGTCTCTGAGCAAATCACATTATGCATGTTTGTGTGTACATGTATGTACACATATGTGCAGAGACCCAAGGGACAGTTCTGTCTTATTTAAGAAAAGAAAGACTTTCAGGACTCCTGAAGGGACTCCTGTTGATTGAGCCAGCCCACATTCTCGCCCAGGGTCATGATCTCCAAGTTTGTGGGTTTTGAGCCCCAGGTGTTGGGTTTTTAGCAAAATAGCCTAGAACCTGGAGCCTGCTTTGGATTCTGTGTGTGTGTGTGTGTGTGTGTGTGTGTGTGTGTGTGTGTGTGTGTCTGCCCCTCCCCTGCTCTCTCTCTCTCTCTCTCAAAAATAAACATTAAAATTTTTTAAATAAATTTTTTATTTAAAAAATTTCTCTCAAAATAAACATTAAATAAAATAAACATTTTCCTATTAAAAAGATTTTTTTAAGACTATCTTCCACTCAGCCTACAATGTCATTGCTAACCACAGGGAGTTCCCTGGGCTCTGGCTAGTGGGGCACCAAGATGCACCCCTCAAGTCCCAAGGGGCTGGTCACAGGTAGGGCCTGGCCTCCACAATAGCCCCATGGAGAAAAGGGCCCTTCTTTAGGCTGGCAGCTGATTTCTAGGACTCTAGTCTCATGAGCTGCTGCTGGAACTTTGTCTACAAATCCTGTATCCTATTACTAGGTCTGCTTCAGCTTTCCAAACAGATTTTCTGGGCATAGTAACTTCTCAAGAGAGGGCCCAACCTTGGAATGAACCATAGGTAGCTATGATGTCCAGCTGCCTTCCTCTGCTGGGTATGAGCAGGAGTTCCAAAGGCCAAAAACACCCTCCATGAACCCGCAACAGGTGGATGCTGTGTGCACATGACTACCTCCTGTGCCACATGATGCTGATAGGGCTTCTTGGGCCCCTCTTCAGGGAAGAAGGGGGACCTAGAGCCATGGCTGTGTGGGCTCCAGTAGGAGAGCAATGGGGAGCTGGCCCTTAACCCATCCTTCCCAGCACCCCAATTCAGAACTTGTCCTGCTCCATTCCCTAAATGGACCAGGCTCGACCCACTGCCAGGCCTTCTTTATGGGCATGCAAACTGTGCAGTCATATGGAGCTCCAAAGTTGTTTGTAATGCTCTGCTACTAACATCTTGAAATTCTTCATAGTTTTTGAACAAAGGGTCTTGCATTTTCAGATTGTACCAGGTAGCCAATCCTGCTCGCTACCTTTGCCATGTAATCCCCGGCTCCACATCTAACAGTCTTCCTCTTTCCTTTCTGTCTTTAAGTCTTTCTTTTTCCTTAATGTTTATTTATTTTTGAGAGAGACTGAGAGAGAGAGAGAGAGAGCAGGAGAGGGGCAGAGAGAGACACACAGAATCCAAAGCAGGCTCCAGGCTCCAGGCTCCAAGCTGTCAGCACAGAGCCCGATGCGGGGCTCAAATTCATGAATCGTGAGATCATGACCTGAGCTGAAGTCAGACGCTCAACTGACTGAGCCACCCAGGCGCCCCTGTCTTTAAGTCTTATTTATCCTACTCTAAGGCAAAATCCTGACAGAAAAATACTCAAAACCACAAAGGAGAGCACATTCTCTTTGAAGAGCTTTTCTGCTTGACTGCAGATGGAATGGTGACAGTGAACAATAGACACATCAATACCCCTACCACACTTGAGAGTTTCTCAGCTCTGCCCAGCACTAAAAGCTGTGGTAGAGGTCTTTTGCCCTTGGTCCTAGTGTCTTCCATGAAGAATTATAGGGGATGGTATTTAATAAGCTCATTTGCCTGACCTTTGGAGTTCTTGTCCAAAGCATGACATGGGTGCAAGGTTGGTACAAGAGCAAGCCTGAGCTGGTATCTAGCAAGCCCATTTACTGCTATGACTTCAGACAAACGCAGTCTCAGAACCTCAGTTCACTCTTACACAAAGCAGGCAAAACAACATGTTAGGAGGCTTTGGAGTCTCAGTTTTATGAATCTGTGTGTTGGGGCAGATTCCAAGCTCTTTTCTGACACTTTGGCTAGTGATTTTTCAGAAGTGGGTGGCCACTAATTCAGGTATATGTCCTGTCTATGCCTTCTGCATGACAGGGCACATGAATCCAGGCACACAGTTTTGGAGGGTTTGTGCCCTTTCCCCTGAAGCCCATTCAGGAACCCCAGTTGAAGAAAAACTGTACTCTGGACATGGTCTCAGATTCATCCTCTGCTTGTGCCTGGGGGACAGAGAGTCAAGTTCCTGGCCCACTTTGTTTTTCCTCTGCAGAGCTATGCTTGGGCTTTCTGCCTGTAGCCAGGATCGTGGGTGCCAGGAGAGGCGGCCTCATGAATCTTGTTATTGTCTTTAGGACGGGAGTGTTCTCAAGGACCTCATCCTCAACATCACAGCGTGACCCCTTTGTGGAAGGAAGTCTACAGGAGAGACTTCTCTCAGGTCTTAGTACTCAGAAAAACTAAATTCTGCAGAAGGAGTATATCACTTTGCCTATGGGGATCCTGCGAGCTGAGCCACAGGGATCTTCAGAGCTGGATTTCAGAGCGTCTCTGGCAAGCATGCAGGCCCCTGGGCAGGACAGCTGGCTGTGGGTCTAATCCTGGCTTGGTTATTTGGCAACCCTTCCTCCCCTCTGTTGTGTGCCCTGACTCCTTAGCCTTTTGTTTTACACTTTTCTCTTGGATGCGTCCTGCTGGAGACTGAAGTGTGATATAAATATGTGAATTCATTTTTAAATCTATTTTAGGGAAGTTGTGAGGATTAAGAACTGAACTGCTTAATGAACGTCATGGAAGCAGTTATACCACCAAGTGGAGGGGGGATTGGGTAGGAGGCAGGGGGTTTTCCTGTACACTGGATCATCTTGCCACACATAGCAATCCCCTGACCCAGAGCCCCCAAAATATCTATGGGTACCTGCAGTATGTATGTGTATATGGATGTATATATATTTCATATATACATACATATACATACGTATACACATATATTTCATTCATATATATATATATGAAAGCTCACTGAGCACACTTTGAAATCTTTGCAACTTCCCTTGAAATTTTGCTGACCTGACTAAATTGAAGAGCTGGGAGCTGAAATTCCTGCTGAAGCCCTCATGTTATGGATCTACCAGCAGGGACTTGTTAGGGGTGTGACAGCCCACAGGCCCTGGGGAATTGGAGGAACCACCTTTCTGGAAAGGCTGGGTAGGAAGGGTAGGAAAGAGTGTGGAGGAGTGTAGAGGGGAGATAAGGGGTGCTGGGGAGGTATAGATACCCACCCCTCACCATACAGTGGGTCCTGAATTTAGGCTCCAAACTCAGCCTATGGTGTGAATAGAGCAGTGAACACAGGGTTTTCTGGAGGAGTCTGTTCAGAAAATATAATCATAGACCACTTGCACTTTTCAACAAGGCAGAGGAAACTTCTATGCCTGGACCAAGGGACCAGGCCCTCTTCCCTGCCCCTGGGGAGTTTCAAACACCTTCCCTCCATGCTTGGATGCCTTCTGAAGCAGAAATACTACCTTGCTTCATACTGCTTCACAGCTGAGGGGTCACCGGTCACAACCGTGGCCTCGGCTAGCTTTTTGCTATGGGATGCAAGAAGAGCCAAGGCATTACCCTCCCTTACCTGGAGAAGAGGAAGGTGAATCTCAGGGAGGGCAGTGACTTGCCCCAGTAAGTGCTAGAGTCAAGAGTCAACCCCAGGGTGAGACCTAGGCCCTTAGCACAAAGTTGACAGCCTGTCACAGGGGAGGAGAACCTTTTCCAGCTGCCATGCTACTCCCTCAGATCTGGGCTGGGACTGGGCCTGCTGGAGGGCCAGGTCCATACTTCATGTTGTCTTCTCTGACAGTGGAGTCTAGTGTGTGAAGATGACTGGAAGACGCCCCTCACCTCCTCCCTGTTCTTCCTGGGTGTGCTCTTTGGCTCCTTCGTGTCCGGGCAGCTATCAGACAGGTAAGGAGGCTGGGAGGGAGAAAGGGTGGGATAGAGCCCCTTGTCCATTCACTATCTGTCTGGGAGTTGAACTGAATTTTGGGTATTTCTACCCAGAGAAAGAGAGGCCCCTCATACCAACAAGTCAGTGCAAGGAGGAGCCCTAATGTCTCACATCTTCCCTGCCCTCGTTTACTTATTAGAACCTTACTTTGTTCAGTTTTCCCAGCCTTGCACTTCCAGGGTTTTGCCCAAAGGTCGGGAGGAGGCAATGGTCCCACTGGAGACTGGAGTCTTTATATCACCAAACTTCTCAAAAAAAGAATACACACACACACACACACACACACACACACACACACCCTGCTGGCATCACCACTGCCTCCCCATCCTATCCCTAACTCTCAGATGGCAGATGATCTGTCCACAAACAGCCATCAGTCAAAGTAAGGGCCAGACAGTGAGTGCCCACATCACTGCTATGCAGGGCACCAGGGCCACAGGCTGACCGAGGCTGGTTGTGGACCTCCTGGATCTCAATCTAGAGGAGACAGCACTGCAGCTCCAGGAGAAGTGCCCCACTGGCCCCTGAATGTTCTATGGGGACCAGAGCAGGAAGGTGGGAATGCTAAACAGCAGTGTTGAGAAGGCTTCCCAGAGGAATGCCTATTACTCCACCACTTACCAAGTCCAAAGGGACAGCAAACCCAACAGCCTGAGATCTGATTTTGGAAAATGACATAGGAGACAGTTTTGCCCACGCCTGTGCTCCATTCTACTCATTGGTCACTATCAGAAAGCGAAGTGAAGGCTTAAGCCAATTCTCAGCACGTCTACTGTTAACAGCTACTTTTCCCATAGAGAACTGGCTTGCAATTTTGTTTGCACATTAGACTCATCTGGGAATTTTTTTTAAATCCTGACATGCAAACTGCATCCTAGACAATAAGAATCTTAGGAGGTGAGATGCTGACGTGAGCATTTTTTGGCACCAGGGGGTTTCAAGTACAGCTAAGGTTGAAGACCACTGCCATAAAGGGAGTCTTCACTCTGGATTGACACAATTCCCATATTGCTGATAGATGTATCTGTAATCTGTACTTAGCAATGTGCCAGAAATGTGGTGGTAGCTTCTTCCTGTGGCTTGTTCTAAAGAGCAGAATTCTATGTGGTCCTTGCATGAGCCACTCTGTGATTTCAAGATATGGGGCCTTTACAGAAGGTTTTGAATCTCAGAAGTCACCTCCTGGGTAGATGGATGCCCAAGACCTCACCAAGGAAGAAGTGGGAGGATGAGACAGGGAGAAAAGTCTGTCACACAGCCCTGAAAACAAACAAACAGACAAACAAACAAACAAACAAACAAACACAAAGTCTGCAGTGATGCCTGACTCAGGGCTTGCCACATGCCCGGCTGTGAACTGCACATGCCATCTTTTTTGCTGTGCTGTATTCTACAGGTTTGGCAGGAAGAACATCCTCTTTGCGACCATGGCTGTGCAAACTGGCTTCAGCTTCCTACAGATTTTCTCCATCAACTGGGAGATGTTTACTGTGTTATTTGTCATCGTGGGCATGGGACAGATCTCCAACTATGTGGTGGCCTTCATTCTAGGTAAGAATGTTTTCTGATGCTCAGGCCTTCTCCTTCAAACCTTTTGAGAGGCCAGGAAGAAGGGACCACCGAAGAGGAGCATAGGGAGTGCTCTTAGGACAGCAGGAGGCTCCTCAACCCATGGGCTGTGCTTCTAAAACATGATCAGCCTCAGACATATGTGTGTTGGGGAGGGGGCTGAAGCCTCAGGTTCTTTGATCTGGTCGCAGGCAAGGCAGGCACCCACAAGGCTGGGCTCTGGAATGTAGTGGTGGATAGAAGCTGGAGCTGATAGGAACCAGCCACACAATAGCTGAGCACAATTCAGCAACACGGGGCTTGGCAAAGGCACAAAGTTGGGGTGCTGGGGATGTCTTTGACTTGAGTTTTGAAAGCTTGGGACGTCTGCCTGTGTCAGGGCAAAAGTGTTCCTGGCAGCTGTGCATGGCCTGTGGAAGAACATAGGGTAGATGGTGTAGCCGGTACACAGGTAGAAGAGGCAGGCATGTGCCAGACAGGAGTTCAGTGCCAGTCTGCCATTCCTGGGCAGGTCTGGTGGAGCTCACTCCAGAGCATATCAGCAGTGTGCAGGATGAAGTCTTGCTGATAATAGTCCTATCTCCTAACAACAGCCTTACTTCTGGAGTCTCGGGCTGCTGAGTGGGACACACAAACTAAAAGACATGAGGAGGCCCCCAGGGCCCTCACCAGCATTTCCTGAGAGGAAGTGAGGTGAGCTCCAAGCAGGCTGACCAGGGTCACCCATGAGAGCAAGCACCCCAACATGCTCTCTGAGCCCACCTGCTGACTCTGACCAGCTGAGAGGAGGGGAAATGAGGGGCCCTTCTGGAACAATAGACAACAGTTCCTATAATCTCTAGGCTGACAATATATCCTTGTTGATTCATTGCTGACCCAGTTTGCCCCTATTGTCACAGAGTAATTATTAACATGCCCTTTCAATGTAAGTCTAACAATTCTTCCTGCTGCGTCTGGTAAGATGGATTCTGATTGCTTTTAAGAATCTGAATGACTCCCTGGATTTGGAGATGCTATGCTCTCTTAGTTGAGGACGTGTACACTCTCTGTGAGGTTGTTAAGATGGAATTGCTCACATTCCACTCCTTTAATGATTTGTGAAGAGCTCCCACAGCCAAGGTGTCTGAAGATGGGGGAAGGGAAGAGCATGCTGGAGCCACATGGTCCTAGCAGTTAGCACCCTCTTCAGCAGGCCCCAGCAGGAGGGGGGCCTCCATCTTCCTTGTGGGGAAAGAGGGGAGCCAGATGTTCTTTTTTTTTTTTTAAGACAGACAGACAGACAGACAGACAGACAGACAGTGTGAGCAGGGGAGGGGCAGGGGGAGAGGGAGACACAAAATCCAAAGCAGGCCCCAGGCTCAGAGCTGTCAGCACAGAGCCTGACACAGGGCTTGAACTCACAAACCGTGAGATCATGACCTGAACTGAAGTTGGATGCTTAACTGACTGAGCCACCCAGGTGCCCCAAGAGCCAGGTGTTCTTAAAGAAGGTCCTTTGTGTAGAGGACACACAGCTTCAGGCCAGTAGTGCTAGAAATGAGAAATTGGAGGAATTTAGGATGAAATTGCAACCTCCTAATGCTTCATGGCTGCAAGGACACAGGGCTCTTGAATAAAGCCTATTTGTTCTCATGGGCAAAATCTCCCAGAATCCATCTTCCTAGGAGTGATCCTCCCTAGGTCCAAAAAGCCCAATTTGTGGCTATACTTGGGCCAGACACATACCAGAGACTAAACAGGTCTCCCAAAGCAGATGATTCTGCCTGAGATTGGCAGACTCCTTTAAGGAGGGGCTAAGAGACCATCTAAAAGGGAAGGGCAGAAAATCATGGTGAAGCCAGAGAAACCCTATCATGGGGATTGGGAGCCAGGTGGGGTTTGTTCCAGACCTGGTGTCCCCCAGGTTCTACTGAACGGCCACTATTGAGTCCTGCCTTTCCAGGGGCGTAGGATGCTTCCGGAGCCTTGGAACCTCCCCTGTGTGAGTGGATGAGGCTGGAAGAGCATCCCACAGGGAAATCCTGACCAGCTGGCCCTGACACTACAACCTACTCCCCTCCCTGGTCCCCGTGTAAGAGAAGTGACAGGGCCAAGGGGAAAGTAAGATCATGTACAATCAATCAGAGCCCACATGTACAAGCCAGCAATCAGTGAGCTGGATGCTGGGTGCAACAGGCTCCCCATCCATCCACCTGGGTCCCCGAGCCTCCTTGGCTATTGCACTTTCATTGCACTTGCAGGAAACTGCCGACTTTTGTATTCTCGTATGAGACTCTTTTTGTTGGGTTCTCTGGATGCACATTTAAGAACATCACTGAAAACCAACGTGCCCCCTGGAGCAGCGGACTCGTGTCAGTGCCTCGGGCCGGCCGGGTGGCATGGTTGGCGTGGAGTGCGAGCCCTTGGAGGCTGGCTTCTCCTGCAGCACAGCGGCGCTCTCTAGTGTTCCAGGGCTAAAACAGCGAATTCCGGGTTTCAAGTAAAATAAACTGAAGTTTGGGGTCTGGGCCTTCTCTTTTGCCCTCTGGCTCTAGGGAAGGACTGGCAAGACTCTGTGATGATAATCTCATTTTAAGAGGCTTCACGTTAATTCAGGAAGCTGAATTACTCCCATTCTCAAAACGATGCAGAAGTGGACCTTTTAAAAATTGTAAAACCTGGCAGAATCTCAGGAGACAAGAAAAGGAAGGGAAGGAACAATGCTAGCCAAAGGAACATGAAGTGGATACCCCTGGAAGTGAGGGCACTGCCACAACCATGCTAGTTTAGGAGGAAATGACCACTCAGGACCAATGACACTGACCCTTTCTACACTCCAGCTGCCCCCCCACCGTCTCCCACTGTTTCCCAGAAATTATGCCTTCAAGCCGTCCACAGCCTTCTGGGTAAAATGCCACAGGCTCCTCCTTTATCCCTCATCACTACCTGTCCAAATTTATTTTGCACAGTTAACTGCCTTCCTGTCTTGACCAATCCATTAATTCAGTATTTTCCTAGTACTCCTAACTTCAACCTCCTATGCAATATTTGTGCCAGCATGCCGAACGATTTAAAACTCTGCTTCCTCTGGTGTCTACATGTGTTTTTCCTTTTCATAAGTATGTAACTGATGGCATCTTCCCTTATAACTCTGGCTACCAGAAAGCTCAGGCAAAATTGAAATTTCACTATATCAATTGTGCAGTCTTTTTTAGCCACATATTTTTAAAATGGTTTTTTGTTGGTTTTTTTTTTTGAGAGAGAGAGAGAGAGAGAAAGAAAAAGCGTGCATGCCCACACAAGCTGGGCAGGGGAAGAGAAGGAGAGGGACAGAGGTTCCAAAGCAGGCCTTGTGCTGACGATGGCAGAGAGCCTGACGCAGGGCTCGAACTCACGAACCACAAGATCATGACCTGAGCAGAAGTCAGACACTTAACTGAGCCACTCAGGCACCCCTAAATTGTTTTTAAATTAAGGTGTAATTTGCATACCATACTATGCACTCTTTTAAAATGTGTATTTAAAACTTTTTAGTGTTTATTTTATTTTTGAGAGAGAGAGAAAAAGAGAGAGACAGAGCATGAGCAGGGGAGGAGTAGAGAAAGAGGGAGACACAGAATCAGAAGCAGGCTCCAAGCTCTGAGCTGTCAGTACAGAGCACAACATGGGGCTCGATCTCGTGAACCACAAGATCATGACCTGAGCTCAAGTTGGATGCTTAACCTACTGAGACACCCAGGTGCCCCTAAAATGTGTATTTTAGTGGTTATTACTATATTCACAAAGTTGTACAACCATCAGCTCTTTTTAACTCCAGGACTTTTTCATCACCTCCCCCCAAACTCTGTACCCATTAGCAGGGACTCCCCATTTTCCTCTTTTCCTAGCCCTTGGCAACCACTGATCTACTTTCTGTCCATATGGATTTATCTATTCTGAACATTTCAGATAAGTGGAATCATACAATATGTGACCTTTGTGACTGACTTGCTTCACTTGATGTTTTCAAGGTTGGTCCATGCTATAGCATGAATCATTATTCCATTGAGTGATTTACTACATCTTGTTCATCCATACATCAGTTGATGGGCATCTCGGTTGTTTCCACTTTTTGGTTATCAAAAAGAATGCTGCTATCAAACATATGAGTACAGAGTTTTTTGTGGATATGTGTTTTTCAGTTCTCCTGTATATATACCTAGGAGTGGAATTGCCAGGTCATATGGTAATTTTATGTTTAACCGTTTAAGGAAGTGCCATAGTGTTTTTCAAAGTGATCAGTTGCATATTTTTTGTTCTTTTCTCCGAGGCATAACTTTTACCTTTCTTTGTATTTTACTTTAATGTTACCATTTTCTTATTGTATTCAAATTATTAGCTACCTCAAAGACTTCAAGAGATGAGATGGGATATAAATACATTACAAAGATGCAGAAATTTGTTGTCACCCCTTTTTTGCACTGCATCATGTGAAGAAAGATCTGGAGGGACCCAGGGAGGAGCAAGGACTCACGCTTGTCTGTTCTCAAGGAGTTTACATCTGGTCAACAGAGGAAGTCAATGCAGTTGTTACTGAGGACATGAGACATGGGTGAGGTAGGGGTGGCTATATGCTGGATATATGCAGAGATAGGAAATGTTACTTTTAACTAGAATGATCTCTTTAGGTTCATAGAAGGGAGAGAAGTAGCCCTGAGTAGGGGAATATCTGTTAATTTGGAGAGAATTCTGAGTATTTTCCAGGGAGCAAAGAGAGGTTCTACTGTCTGACCTCTTGGTCAAAGGCACCGTACTTCCCATCATTCCTCTGACATCCAGCATATTTCAATTGTTTGACAAGGATAAAAGAATTAGCTGTTCCTGAGAACCTGTCATATGCCAGATGCTCTACTAGGCACTTTACACACAGTATCTCAGTCCTTGTAATAAGAACTCCATGAAGTAGGACTTATCACAGTTACTCTAGTAGTAAGCGAGTGTCAAGGAGCCCAGGCTTTCTGCACGTGCCACTCTGCATATGGTTTCTGTACTCACAACCCAGGGGCCCCTGCCTACTCCTGATTCTGGCAACTGCCCCACCTTATTTCTTGAGCTGGGGTCTGCCACAGGCCTGTGTTAGTCATTCATGGAAGAGCATGTCCTGCCTCCATGTGGAATGGATTCAGTGGTTCCTGGGATGACTCCCACAGAAGGGCCTTGATCAATGCAGAAGTGAGCCTGACCCTCCCTGAGTCACCCACTTGGACAGAGTACCCTCTTGGAGAGAGTACTTAGATTCAGGGGGTAGTGACAGGCAAAAGGCAAACACTTCTGGCCAGGACAGGCCCTTCTGGCTTAGATGACAGAGTCTTACTTCCAACAGACACTCCAAGAACCAACTAGACCAAGACCAACTAGAAGCAAAAACCTAGGGTGTAAACAAGGCCAGGAGAGGCATTCCCAGCCAGGAGAACCAGAAGTCACTGCTGTCACCTGTGGGGCAGCTACAGCCTGTGAAAGGTCTGCAGGAATCAAGGCTCCTCTCTTAGCATTCCTCTGAGAGGGCTGGTTGGCCTCCAGTTGGTTCGAAGACCAGCCCAGGAAGGGAAAACACAAATCCTGGCTTCTTGAAAGGAGACCATGGCCTGACCCATCTCCCATGAATGTCTCCTTTAGGAGTCTCAGGTGAAGGACTGGTTGAGAAGGCCCAGGCTTTGCCCCCAGGTGATTTTTTATACATGGTGTGAAGTGAGACCATTTGCTTCAGCTGTTTAAGTCTCAGCTGATTATGTGTAAAACAGAAGTAATATTCATTTTTGCACAATTATTGTGATGCTTCAAAGAGATAATAGATGTAAACACTTAGTCTAGAACCTGACTCAAAGTGCCGGCTCAAAATAAATGCTAGTGTGAAGATGATGGTGATGACGAGGACAATGATAATGTTTACAGAGGGGTGATGGTCTAAAAGTCACAGAGCAGGAAGTCGTGCTAATAAGGAACTCTTCAGGTTCATGCCATTCATGTGGCTCCACAGAAAGGCAGAGAGGTAGATTTAAAAAGCTCTGTGTCCCATGGGTACTCTGCAAAGTCAGAACAACTCTGTTCTGCCCTGACACTCGAGCTTAGAGACAGAGATTATCCAGGAACCCAGTGGTGTCGCTTTTCTTTCTTATCAGGATCGTGGAAGTATGGGGGAGCTCCCTTGCTTCACAATTCTGCAAGATTCTCCCTTGGTCCTGTGCACTTTCTCTTTTCCACAACCAAATCCTCTGCTGCTTCACTTCTGAATCTCTGCTTAGGAATAAAGCACCCTCTATCCATTCTCACATCACAATAATTACAGCCAAAGTGTTTAGAAACATGGCTTGGTGAGTCTGCCTATGGAGTGGTAGGAGGGTCCTTAGTGAGGTAAGAAAATACCTGAAATTAACACTCATGATCTTCAGAGAAGTCAGGCCCTATTTTTGGAAATTAGTTGAGAGGCTATAACAGGCCCCAGGTGGTTAGGGCTGTTGCCCACAGTCTGGGATGTGAGAGGCGCACATTTCTAACAGTCTGCTTTTTAGCAATGGCTGTTCAAGAGGGAACCACTGAGGCAAACCTCTAAGTCATGCTGAGGAAGAAATGGGTTGGGGATAAGGAACAAGTGGTGAGAATGGGAAACTAGCCAAATACAATTGACCCATGAGCAAGGGGGTTGGGGTACTGACCCCTCCTTCACCCGCACAGTCGAAAATCCCATGTATTACTTTTGACTTCACCAACACTTAACTACTAAGAGCCTACCATTGATCAGAAGCCTTACTGATAACATACACAGTCAATTAACATATGTACTTTTTTAATGTTTATTTATTTTTGAGAGAGAGACAGAGCATGAATGGAGGAGGGGCAGAGAGAGAGGGAGACACAGAATCCGAATCAGGCTCCAGGCTCTGAGCTGTCAGCACAGAGCCCGAAGTGGGGCTCAAACTCACTAACCGTGAGATCATGACCTGAGTCGAAGTCGGATGCTCAACTGACTGAGCCACCCAGCGGCCCCACAATTAACATATTTTTTATGTTGAATATATTATTACTGTATTCTTATAATAAAGTTAGCTAGAAAAAAGAAAATGTTATTATGAAAATCATAAGGAAGAGACATACATTTACAGTACCATACTTATTTACTAAAACAAAAACAAACAAAACAAAACAAAAAACAAAAACCTTGTGTATGTGGACCCATGGAATTCAAACCCATTGCTCAAGGGTCAACAGTAGTAATTATACTGCTTTTCTGGAATTAGCCCTTAATTCCTTAGCCTGGGCTCAGGGCATATCAACACATCTGAGAAAATATCTCTTTAAAGACAAGCCTGAACGGTCCTTTGAATGCTGTTTTGTGTTTCCTGGGTTACTCTTCTGCAGTGGTGGGCAGATCTCAAATAAAAGGCAGAGCCGTTGCCATTGGCCAGATCTCTGCCTCGGGGCAGAGGACCAAGAGTGGACTCCGGAAAGGGCCTGGAACTCTGTGACAACAGAAGGAGCTTCTTCTCAGACTCCCCCATATCAACTGAGAGCTCCAAGAGGCAGGCAATGTCTCTGGAAGACCTGTGGCACTGAGCACAGCAAGAGCCAACAGCCACCTGTGTGTCCTCTCCCCAAACTAGGGCCCAACGCCAAGCAGTCTTGGCCCTTAGTGGCGCTCTGGGGAGGCTCCATGAAGTTCCCTGGGTGTGTGGCCAGCTGTAGAGCTGCCTGTCACCTGCTGGGCCAGCAAATCAGCTGCTTCTTTTCTTTCCATGGTCTGAATAGACTATTTCTGCCTGGGGCTGATCTCTGGACACAGTGTGGCTGCGGGGAATTCAGCCCTGGATGCTGGAGCCTTCCCTATGTACCTCAGGAGCCAGCTGGACCCTATTTATCACTTCCCAGGGCTCAAGGGTGGCTAAAGGTGTCCTAATGCGACTCAGTTAACTATGAACTTCCCACTGTTTCCCAAGACCCCGTGTCTGTTTATAGTGCAGAACTCTGGGAAAGGCTCCATGCATCACGACTCCACAGAGACCCCCAGAAGAGCCCCGACTGTCTCCTGGAGCACCCTGTCGGTTCCTCAACCTGGGGCACTCATTTTGGAAATGTGGCCTTCTCAGAAGAGATTACCCCTCAGGGCTGGGCATGATATTTCTGTGACATGAGATGGCCTTCAAAAGAAATCTGTGGCTCCTTTAAAATCTCATGAAAACTCATCCTTCTCTAAGGTGACAAGTCTTGGGTCACTTCCCGCTTTCCTTCACCCTGATCATGCCTCCTCTGGGCCACACGGCAAACAAGTGCCTCTTCCCTTTTGCAAGTAATTACAGTTCGAACTCTAACTGCCAGGTAATTGATGTAAAACAGCAAATATTAAAGTGAGTTAAAATGCTAATACTCCTCCCTTGTTTTGAACAGGAACTGAAATTCTTGGCAAGTCAGTTCGTATTATATTCTCTACGTTAGGAGTGTGCACATTTTTTGCAGTTGGCTACATGCTGCTGCCACTGTTTGCTTACTTCATCAGAGACTGGCGGATGCTGCTGCTGGCGCTGACGGTGCCGGGGGTGCTGTGCATCCCCCTGTGGTGGTGAGTGTGGCTCGGTCCCAGACAGCCCCCTGCTGCGGGCCAGCATGCCTGGAGCCAGAGCCTGGTGTGGATCCTCCTCGCGTGGGCTCGCGTGACCTCAGCGCGGCTGGCTGAGGCTGGGGTTTCGGAGCCCGTAGAGTGTCTGCCTCGCTGTGGGTGGGCCTGTGTGCTGGGGTTTGATTCTCCATGGTCCCCGAAAAGCACAGTTCTCAGGAAACACCCCCCCCCACAGGCTTCCCCCCACAGGCTCACCCAACTTGATGTTGGTTGTTGATGTTGCTTGTGGAGTTGTTACTGTGGGGTTCTGTTATTTCCAACTCTGTCCCACCCTGCTCTTTCCACACTGTTCTGTCTCTAGGAAATCTCTTTCTCCTTATGGATTCATCTAGTGTCATTTCCCCAGGCTTCTCTATCACAAGGTGATTAACATGTAGGTTGCTCCTATTTATCTGCTTTGTCTTGAAGGGCGAAAGAATTACTTTCGTTTAATAAGTTTTTAGAGAAATGTTCTCTCCTTCCATAATCCTGCCACCCAATTTTGACACATTGGTGTGGGAATAACCAAGTTTGGAGATACTGGGTCCCAGTTTCACCCAACATGATTATGTGGGAAATTTCAGGTGAGAGAAGAGATTAGAATCATGGAATAAGGTTCCAGTTGCACCCTCTTTTGGGGGATTCCCCCATTTCTTTGTATTTTGGGTTCCCTCCCCCCATATTTAGGTAAGAGGAAAGGGGATTTCTTCTACTGGTGGGTCTCTCTCTCTCTCTCGTTAATCCTTCTTGGTTTGGTTTCAGGTTATCAATATCAAATCTCCCCGCAGTGACAGGTTTTACCAAACTGCTTGATCTGTACCTGCTTACACACAATGAAAGTTTCTTTGACCAGTTTTAAAAACTCATGGTTTAGACTAGCTCTTATGGTTTCCCTGTCCTGTGGACACAGCCTAGGAAGTTGCCAGAAGGTCTTTTATCTTCCTGCAATTGTTAGACAGCCATACAGACTGACAGCACATTTTGGCCTCCTTGGACTGGATAGCTCAGGTTGGACCACTCCAAGCTACTGTCTTTTTATCACCTCTAAGACTGCTATGTTTTTCAGTGTAAATTCTTGGCATACATGTGCCTGGGAGGAGAAAGCACTTTTTTTCCTTACTTCTCTGGAATTTGAGAGACACTGTTTTCAAGGTTAGCTACTATTCTGATTTGGAGGTTTCTTCTGGTACCCAGTCTGAGGGTCAGGAAAGCTTATGGGAAATAAGGACAGACCATTAACTACAGAGCTCTGTCTCCAAGGAAGCACCCCAGATTTACAAGAGAAGGGAAATTTCCTGGAATGAGAGCCAGCATCATCATTATCATCAACATTACCTTCATCACATCTTCTGTCTCTGTTTCCATAATTCCCTTGCTAACTGAATTTATTATAAGAGATGGTGGTGACCAGAGATTCTCTCAAGACACGAGACAAGATTATTCAAAGGTTATTTTCTGCCTCTTCACACAAATGATGTTAATAATCTATGATTCCTGGTTGCTGTTTTGGCATAAGACACCAGTACTTCTAAAATATGGTATAATAATATGTTATTGGTATGTGCTCCTATAAGAGAGAGAGAGAGAGAGAGAGAGAGAGAGAGAGAATAAAAATAGAAGGGCCCTGACTGACCATTAGAGGTTAGTATGGATTTTAATTTCTGGGGCTTGGACCTTTGCCTCAGGCCCAGATACTGCAGCAAGGAACCACTCTGGTAGGTCAGCCCCTTCGGTTTCCAGCTGAGGAGGTCCATCCCATGAGGAGCTGCATTACTCTTGCCCTAAGGAGAGTTCTTGCTTCTGTTGGTTGCCCATGGGCTGACCCATGAGCGCTCCCGGCTGTGGGCACACTGTACCAGGGACAGGACTGCCCTAGACAGAGGGCAGCCCCGGGCCAGCACTACAAAGCTGAGTGCTTATGCTGAAAGTTTAACAACAGTCTTATCATTCCCCTATAAAAACAGAATAGCTTTCTTATGAATGCTTCATCCCTGAGGGTGGGACTTCCGGAAGCCATACTCATCAGTCTGGGGGGGTTGGGGTGATTGGGGGGTCAGGTTAGGGCTGCTGCACTTCCTGCTGTCTGCTCAATGTATGATAGAGACTCTCTAGCAATGCCCTTCCCCTGTTCAACTTGAATTCAATACCTAGAGAGGCTACGGTGTATAACCTCATATGGTACTCCATTAAATTTTGAAATAATCAGCTAGACTTAATTCTCCATGCAGTAAAAAGCCATGGCAATCCAAAAATAGAGATCACAGCAGCCCTGAGTATGGTGGCCTGGAAATGGGAGTAAACCCATGCAGAGCCCTGCAGGTAGTCTGGGGAATTTTTTATGTCCCAGGTTCCTTTTTTGTTCGTTTGTTTGTTTATGTTTACTTATTTATTTAGAGAGAGAGAGAGATGGGGGTGGGGGGGCACACACGACCAGGGGAGGGGCAGAGAAAGAGGGAGAGAGAGAATCTCAAGCAGGTTCTGTGCTGTCAGCACAGAGCCCGACGTGGGACTTGATCTCACAAACTGTGAGATCACGACCTGAGCCGAAATCAAGAGTCGCCAACTGAGCCACCCAGCCACCCCTGTCCCAAGTTCCCTTTAAAAGGTTTAGCAAGGGGCGCCTGGGTGGCTCAGTTGGTTGAGCATCTGACTTCGGCTCAGATCTTGATCTCACGGTTTGTGGGTTCAAGCCCCACGTCAGGCTCTGTGCTGACAGCTCAGAGCCTGGACCCTGCTTTGGGTTCTGTGTCTCTCTCTCTCTCTCTGCCCTCCCCAACTTGTGCTCTGTCTCTCTTTGTCTCTTAAAAATGAATAAATGTTAAAAAAAATATTTTTAAAAAGGTTTGGCAAGAAGTGACTACAGGTATGAATGGAGTATGTGTATAGGGGGTGAGAAAGAGCCAATAGATGCAACTTGAAGAACCAATAGAAGCTTTTCAATATCTAGCTGACTAAACATTAGGAACTTGAGGTCAATGATGGCCCTGAAAGCCTGTGGAAGGAAAGGAAGAGTATTTCTAAGAACAACCTGGTGGGGGAAAGACATTGCTCAGAATCAGAAGTAAAGCATACATGTATATATACATGAAGCATACAGTGGCTGGGAAGTAAGGCCTCAAATTCTGCACTAACACAGTAGCCACTAGCCACATGCAGCTATGTAAATTAAAATTAATTAAAAGTAAATAAAATTAAAAATTCATTTCCTCAGTCACACTAGTTACACTAGCTCAACAACATGTGGTTATTGGCTACTATATTGAACAAAACAGCTATAGAACACTGCAGAAAGTTCTCTTGGACAGCACAGCTCAATTACTGAAGGTCAGTGACCTAACATCACAGTTGCTACAGGGACCAACTAAGAGTAGATTCCAAAAAATATAAACTGGGTTCATTTTTCAACTCATGTGCTAATAGGCTGGGGGAGGAGGCTGAGGGTTGACCATTTGATAAGTTGTGTTTTGCTCTGAGATTAATTCCTATTGAGGCTTTAGAGGGGCACATGTAATTATAGGAGGCCCCTATACCTGCTACATGTGATTTATTTTCTGGGATAACTGAGTACTGACAAATAGGTGAGAAAAACAAGAGAAGAATGGCAGAAGAATGGCTAAGAGATTTTGAGAAATAAAAAGTAGAAAAGAACAGAAAATATAAATAAATATAAGTATGAAAAAATAAATAGAAATAGAAAAAATAGAAAAATTAGGAAAGAATAGAAGTCAAGTGTGTGTAATAAAAAAAGTTTCTAGGGGCGCCTGGGTGGCGCAGTCGGTTAAGCGTCCGACTTCAGCCAGGTCACGATCTCGCGCTCTGTGAGTTCGAGCCCCGCGTCGGGCTCTGGGCTGATGGCCCAGAGCCTGGAGCCTGTTTCCGATTCTGTGTCTCCCTCTCTCTCTGCCCCTCCCCCATTCATGCTCTGTCTCTCTCTGTCCCAAAAATAAATAAACGTTGAAAAAAAAAATTAAAAAAAAAAAAAGTTTCTAGATGGTTAAAAAAAAAAAAAAAAGATAACATTGACTGTCTCCCAAAAACTGGTTTGGTTACTCACTGGCCTGGGAGTCTGTTGAGAGCCACAGGGATAGCCCATCGGAGGGTGTCCGTATGTACATCTCCTCTGACTGTAAGAAGAGCCCAGAAAGCACAGATGCCTTGGCCACCCTTTACCTGATAAACTTTTCAGATTCATCAGCTGGGACCCCAGGAATTCTTCAAGGGATGGAGACACTAAAAAGACACTAGATTGTGTTTCTTTTATGACCCACCCTGGCTATTACATTTGAGATGACTTTCTCCCACTGCCCTGGCTTACACGCACCCACAGTTAATGTTACTCCTTATGGTCTGGTCCTGGCTTCAAGTACAACTGATGATGATTGGTCTTATGGTTTGATCAAGACTTTGAAACTTGGAGGTGCTTTTGTTTATTCCTATTATCAATGGAAATCTTATGAGGTGCCCCCCTTCCTGATTTCCTTTAAACAGGCACACTACAATTTCACAAAATAAAAATCATTTGGGGGGAACTTGTGGTGAACACTATGAAAGCTTGCTATTCTGAAAAATTATAAACCCTTAAAAATTTATTCCAGGTTTATTCCTGAATCTCCCCGGTGGTTGATATCCCAGAGAAGATTTATAGAGGCTGAAAATATCATCCAAAAAGCTGCAAAAATGAACAACAAAGCGGCCCCAGTGGTGATTTTTGATCCTATGGAGGTAAATATTTGCAGATGTGCCCTCTTGAGGTCAGCCATGCATTCTTGATTTCAGGGAATGTAATTTAATCCGATGTGTTTTGAGTGCCCACTATGTACCACGTGCTGCATGAGTCCTTAGAGACATAGTGATGATTAAGTTCTGAGATGAAACCCACGTCAAAAGGCTGTGTATGAATTAGGTGCGATCATGTATGTAAACTGCTTAGCATACAGCAAGTGTTGATTAAATACTAATTCCCTTTCCTTTGGTAAGTTTACTTCCAACTTTTTACTGATACTGCTCCAAACCACTGGTGCAGTTGCATATCACATAATCTAAATGTCCACATTAAGTGGAAAAAAATGTAGTTGAGGGAAATTCCATGCAGGATTTACCCACTGTACTCTGAATCGTTCCAAAGTTGCTGAGGAAGCTGTATATGCCTTTAGTCTTGCTGTGTCGTGTCTAGAACCTAAAGGTGTGAAAGCACAGGCTCAAGGGTTCACCCCAAAAGGCTCGAAGGTTCACCCCTGAAGGCAAGAGACCATGCGAAAAAGATATTCCATGGTGGCAGCCACACTTCCTGACAGTCAGTGAAGACTTGCAGTGTCCCCATTCATGCCCTGTGCCACATCCTAGAGAAAATGAGAAAGTGAGATACGGTTCCTATGCTTAAGGAGCATAGCATGTAGCTAAGAGTATCACCAAGATTAGATGAAACATAAATGATGCCAGGAGGGAGGAAATGCTTATGTATCCAAGGAGTAGATGCTGTGTGCCAGCAGAGAAAGGGAACAGACAGACTCAGAGCTGAAGAGGCAGGTCTGAACCAGGGGTGGGGGCCCTTAGATGAATGGAAAGAATGGAGCAGGGCTATCCTGGCTGGGAGAAGGGTAGGGGTCTGCTCAGGAAACCCAAAGAAGACTAGGGCAGCTGCAGCAACAGTATGCCTGCCCACATTGAAGTCCGCACTGCTGGCTTCCACAGAAAGCAGAACTTTCAGAGGGTGGTGGGCACACCACTGCTCCACCCCAAGGGCTTCCTCCGTCCCTGGCCTTTGGCACCTCTGTCAGAAGCAGATGTCCTGGCAATGGCTGGAGAGTTAATTACAGTGCCAGGAACCCAAGGTCCCAGAGGGCTGCTGGGACAGAGATTGCTGAATACTTCACTCTTCACATCAGGAATTCTGTTCCCCCGGTGGCTCAGTTGGTTAAGCATCTGTTTTCAGCTCAGGTCATGATCTCATGGTTTGTGAGCTCGAGCCCTGCATGAGGCTCTGTGCCAACAGCTCAGAGCCTGGAGCCTGCTTCAGATTCTGTGTCTCCTGCTCTCTCTGCCCCCTCCCCCGCCTCTCTGTCTCCAAAAATAAACATTAAAAAAATGTTTTAAAAAAAGAATTTCATTCCCAGCCTTAGATAATTTATTGGACATGGGGAGTGTCCAGTGAACTCTTTTGCATCTCAGGGCTGTGGTGGTTGTTTGTTGATATTTATTGGATATGTGATCTGATTCCTGTGTTTGAGGAATTTACAGTGTAGTAGTAGAAGTCACACTTACAAGAGATAGTTAGAGGCAAATAAGAATAAAGTCCAGTGTCAAAACACATGCTTCTGATAGCATCTTGTTTCTTCCTACCATGAGGCATTTGGAGCCTGAATTGGACAAGCCTGCTGGAGGAAAGAGAGCCAGTGTTCATCTCTGCTGCTCACCTCCTGGTGACAGTGGAGACGGGTCCTCTTAAGGAGGGTCCACAGAGACCTGCGTCAGCAAGTGCGGCCTGCTCAGAATGATAATGGAGAGTCTACCAGATGCCAGGCATGGTATTCAAATTATTTGATGTTCATTCAAGCCATAGCTCGTGGATACTACTCTAGGCTCTTTTTTTCGGGAGAAGAAATTGAGGCACAGAGAAGTTAAGTAATTTGCCTAGAATTACACAGCTAGAAGTCTCACTAGAGCTGTCTGGTGCCAAAGTACATGCTCTTCACAGCTGTGCTTTCTTATCTCAAGGTAGAGGCAGTGGACAGGAAAAAATACAGAGTAGTATCATCTTGGAAAGTGATCTGGGGCTTCTCTGGCTTTCTTTCTCAAGCACCTTTAACCTGCTCATCGAGTCTGGTTCAAAGGCATTTTGGTGACTCCATACAGAGGCAAGCACTGGATATAAGAATATTCTTGTCCTGAGGTTTCCAAACCTGGCTGTCATCAAAATCACCCAAGGAGCTTTAAAAATACTGTCCTTGGAATGCCTGGGTGGCTCAGTCATTTCGATGTCCGACTTCGGCTCAGGTCATGATCTCATGGTCCGTGAGTTCGAGACCCACATGAGGCTCTGTGCTGATAGCTCAAAGCCTGGAGTCTGCTTCATATTCTGTGTCTCCCTCTCTCTCTGCCCCTTCCCCACTCATGCCGTGTCTCTCAAAAATAAATAAACATTAAAAAAATTGTTTTAAAAAAATACAGAATCCTAGGCTTCAGGGCCCACAGGAACTATTCAGATCCAGCAGGGCCAGGGTAAGACCTGGCGATCTACATTTTCATAAAGCACCAAGTGTTAGCATAGACCTGGTGCCCAGGTCCTATCCATGCATGGCACCACTTCCAGAACCCCCATGAAGACTTCTAGTTCCCACTAGTTTATGCAGGGGCTTTGCTTTGTTGTGATAACAGGGTTCTACTGCCAGGGGCATGTTCTAGAGCTGCACACTCCAAATACTGTAGAAGAAGAAAGGCGGTATGTCTGCGAACTGCAGGAGGGAGTGTGGTTATTCTTGGGAAGACAGATGCTCATATTTGGGGAGCGCTTGCTACAATGGCCAGTCTGGCAGTCTTACTCCTTCATTGTAGACACTCCTTCCTCGGCCTCTTATTTTTTAAATCTTTTTTTTAAAAATGTTTATTTATTTATTTTTGAGAGAGAGAGAGAGAGAGAGAGAGAGAGAGGACACAAGTAGGGGAGAGGCAGAGAGAGAGAGAGAAGGAGACACAGAATCTGAAGCAGGCTCCAGACTCTGAGCTGTCAGCAGGGAGCCTGACAGCAGGGAGCCAAACTCACCAACTGTGAGATCATGACCTGAGCTGAAGTCAGACGCTTAAGCGACTGAGCCACCCAGGTGCCCCTCAGCGTCTTACTGCACATGCACTCTATGTGCTTGCACTTTATCCCAAAAAGATTACCCACCTCAGGGCCTTGTAACTTCTTTACAAGTTCCACTGAGCTTGGTTATCTAGACTCCTAACACATGGCAAGTTCACTTTAGTTAAATTAAAAATAAAGGAGGGAAGCCCATTGACAGCAGTAAGAAATTGCCACTAGCCAAATAGCACCTTTTCCTCAGTGATGCAGTAGTAGCAATAAGTATAGTTAAAATGTATTGGGTATTTACTATGGTTCAAGTACTATGCTAAGCTTTATATACATATATATGATCTCATGTAATCTTCTCAACTCCCAATTATTATACCTTTTTAACATACAAGTAAACTGAGGTTCAGGGGGAATAGTCACTTGCCCAAGGTCCCTCAGTCAACCCAAATCCGTTCTGACTCTGAGACAACAACAAGAAAAATATAAAAAGCAGACATGAACCCCAAGGCAGTTAGGGGCTGCTTGGCCCTAAGCACAGGTCCTAAGGATCACAGCTCCGTGTGATTAAAGTTACCACAGTGATGTGACCATGAGTCAAGAAAAGGCTGTTAGCAATCAGGCTTTATATGAAGAGACAGTGAAACCAATGTTACATATTTCAAAGGCTTCTGTCTAAAATGGGTCACAAGTATTTTAAAGTGTTAGAATAAGCATCATATATGTAGATGCCCTTATTCCCCTCAAATTCCAGACTTCTGAGCATACTCAAGGCGAAGCAGAGTTACAAGCATTAGTCTTTCCCACACTGTCATGGTTGAAGATACTTCCTCACTAACCTCTTCATTTCTTGGTTATTTGCATTATTTTAGCTACAGGAACTAAAACTCCCAAGCCAGCAGAAAGTTCTCATTCTCAGCCTGTTCAGGACTCGGAACATTGCCACAATTACCATTATGTCTTTGATGTTGTGGTAAGTAACAAGTGATCTAGAAATGTGACATGCAGCACATAAGTGTACAATTGATTTTCTTTAATCCACCGGGAACATCAGGGCATGGCCTGAGTTTTCCTGAGACAAAATAAAAATTATAGAATTCTAAGCCATTTGGAAATGTCTCCATTCAATTCACAGAACTGGATGCTGAAAAAAAAGTCACAGGGGTCATCTTTAGGTCTGCAGTCCTGTGGCCTGCATGGAAAGGGTCTGCCAATCCTAGGGTAGTTGAGATGAAGACCATTAATGTTCCTGGTGCCTGAGACTGAGAGGGTAATTCAGCTCCTGCTTCTCCAAGCTGGACTGGCAGCTGAACAGTGACGTCACAACATCCCCACTGCATCGGACTTCTGATAAGCTTTTCACCCTTGCCAATAGCAGACTACCCAGTGATTTTTCAGGCATAGAAATAATGAATTGACTCTGTAGGCTAGATTTGATGATGTATCTACCAAGAAGTGAGGAAGGAGAAAAGAAGACCTGCCTACCCGACAGTGGCAACACAAGAAATTGTAGGTTCAGAGACTGCAGTGAGTCTGCTTTTAGGGCCATCCTGTTTTGCAGTTAGAAGAGATCAATGACAGAGTTATGCCCCTTGATACAGCAAGTGTGTCACAAGCACATGGCTTTCCTCACTCTACGTCTGCTTACTTCTTCTATGTCAGCGTATGTCATTGGTGCAAATGTATCTCGAGTGCTACTGAACCAGTACTAGTCCCTAGTTTTGCCTGCATTGTACTTATTACCAAATGCGACCATCGCGAAAATCCTCAGACTGATAACGTTCCATTTTTTCTTTTGTTTTGCATTAGCCCTTGTGCTACCCAACCCAGTAGAATATGTATTAAAAGATCCAACATTGTTCCTGAAAACATTTTTCAAATGTCCTCTGCTTTTCGGTCATGTCAATAATAAGCAAATTTCTGCACAGAGGAGTCTTCAAAGGGCAGTTGTTTTTTGCACAGAAAAGCTTCACAGTTATGTGGAAATTCACTGTAATGACGGGATATGGGGTGTGTACTGTGTGATACTTTGAACCATTATGGGGACTTTCATTCTTTTCCCCAAAGTGAGTTTTAATAAATTGATAGGAATTTACCGTAAGTGAATCCCATAGTATTACCTATGTATCTTCGTTTTTCTTTTTGATAAGAATGAAATCTGGATTTTATGTTCACTGACGTGACTGACAATCTTTCTTCAAATTATAGTTGTAAGGGAATGAGGATGTACACAAGCTATTCAGGAAATAACGAAATTTGAAATTCATTAGACCAGCGTAGGTATTGTTGAATGTTGGTATATCTAGACTAGGGCTATCCAATAGAACTTTCCACAATGATGAAAATGTTTTATGTCTGAGTTGTCCATTTTAGTAACTACTAGCCCCATGCAGCTATTAAGTGGGTTGAAGTGTGGCAAGTATGACTGAAGAATTGAATTTATAATTTTATTTAATTTTAACTTATTTACTTTTAAATAGCCATATGTGGTTAGTGGCTACTTGTAGGACAGAAAAATCTAGACAATTTCTTGACCATCATGGAATTATTGAGTGGTTCGGGTCATCCTCTCATCACTTTTGTGTTTTTCTGTGGTTTTGCAGGATGCTTACCTCAGTGGGTTACTTTGCTCTGTCTCTCAACGCTCCTAATTTACATGGAGATGCCTATTTGAACTGTTTCCTCTCTGCCTTGATTGAAGTTCCAGCCTACATTACAGCCTGGCTCCTGTTGCAAACCCTGCCCAGACGCTATATCATAGCTGGAGTACTGTTCTTGGGAGGAGGTGTGCTTCTCTTAATTCAACTGGTACCTGAAGGTAAGAAGTTAACCAATTTTAAGAGCTTACTAGAGGGGTGCCTGGGTGGCTCAGTCGGTTAAGGGGCCGACTTCAGCTCAGGTCATGATCTCACGGTCCATGGGTTCGAGCGCCGCATCGGGCTCTGTGCTGACAGCTCAGAGCCTGGAGCCTGTTTCAGATTCTGTGTCTCCCTCTCTCTGACCCTCCCCTGTTCATGCTCTGTCTCTCCCTGTCTCAAAAATAAATAAAATGTTAAAAAAAATTAAAAAAAAAAAAGAGCTTACTAGAAAAGCTCCACACCTTGACTAAACTCATCATTCGTCACTGTGCCCTGTTGTTATGTAGCCTTTAGATCGTAAGTTCTTCATAAGTCAATCCAATCAGATAAGTGATAGACAACTACATAATTTTCCTGTGTTTGTAACAACCCCCCCGCCCCCCGCCCAAACAGGAGTCAGCCTGAGAGAATCAGAAGTCACTGAGAGGAAGAACAATACTGTCAATCATCCCCTTGGTACTTTTATGTGAGGCACATGTTCCAGTGTTTGTAGTTTGTAGTACTTGCCAAGTCCAGTGTAAGTCAGTGATTTTTTTTTTTAAGATTTTATTTGATTTGATTTGATTCATTATTTTGAGAGAGAGAGAGAGAGAGAGAGAGAACATGAGCTGGGGAAGAGGGGCAGAGGGAGAGAGGCAGAATCCCAAACAGGCACCACACTGTCAGCACAGAGCCTGATGTGGGGCTCAATCCCACAACCCAGGGATCATGACCTGAGCTGAACTCAAGAGTCAGATGCTCAAACGACTGAGTCACCCAGGCACTCCTTAAAATTTTATTTTTAAGTAATCTCTACACCCAACGTGGGACTTAAACTCATGACTCCAAGATCAAGAGTTACATGCTCTTCTGACTGAGCCAGCCAGGTGCCCTTAGGCCAGTGATTTTTATGGTCTGTAATCTTTAAGCTGTTAAAGAGCACATAAAGACATTTGCTTCTTTTTTCTCTTTATATCAACCTTTATCATATTATTAAAATGTTATCAATAGATCATTGATACATAATATTATACATAGAAATATATATTTCTTAATAATTAACAGGATAAAAAGGATTGGTTCTTCCCTCTGAGGATTAAATTTAACTATATTAGCGTGCTAACAACTTACTCTGAAACTGTTGTTACACATAAAAGTGGACAAAGTTCACTGAAGGAATAAATGAGCTAGAAAAACAGTACAGAAAAACAGGAAGCAACCTGTCACTCTCCACCTTTGTTTGTGTCTAATTATTAAGATATTTGAGGGGCTCAATTGGTTGAATGTCTGACTCTTGATTTCAGCTCAGTTCATGATCTCAGGGTCATGAGATTGAGCCCCATGTTGGGATCCACACTGGGCTTGGGGCCTGCTTAAGATTCTGTCTCCCTCTAACTCTCATGCTCTCTCTCTCTCTCACTCTCCTAAAAAAAAAAAAGAAAGAAAGAAAAGAAAAAGATATTTAAAGAAAAAGTGTTACTTGAGGAATATCTTTATACTATAAAAACAATCCCCAAACAAGCAAAAAGGACAACAAAAGCAACTGAGTTAAGAAAATCTCACTTCTGGGGCGCCTGGGGGGCGCAGTCGGTTAAGCGTCCGACTTCAGCCAGGTCACGATCTCGCGGTCCGTGAGTTCAAACCCCGCATCAGGCTCTGGGCTGATGGCTCAGAGCCTGGAGCCTGTTTCCGATTCTGTGTCTCCCTCTCTCTCTGCCCCTCCCCCGTTCATGCTCTGTCTCTCTCTGTCCCCCCCCCAAAAAAATAAATAAATAAATAAATAAATAAATAAATAAATAAATAAAAAGAAAATCTCACTTCTAAAACCACTTCTGAGGAGGGAGTGTGGGGCAAGTTGAGGGCAAAGTACAGACTAACAGTAACCTACCCACCCCAGGATGGGATATGTGTGATATTCCTCAGACACTCCTGCCTACCCAAGAACAAAGGAAAGGGGTTTAAGTGCTTACCATGGTGATGAGGGAAGCTAAGGCAAATGAAAAATTAGATTCCCTTACTGCCTACAGCCCACTGACAAGTCCTGGAAACCAGCAGTGACCTTCCTCTAGGAGCTGCCTCAATGATGACCCTTTGCTAGGGGCAAAAGGGAATCTTGGCTTAACATTCTCCTGCCCCACCCCCCACCCCAGGGTCCTGTAAGTCTACTTTAACATATAAAAATTCCCTTGGGGCACCTGGGGGCTCAGTTGGTTAAGTATCCAACTTTGGCTCATGATCTCACGGTTCGTAAGTTCGAGCCCTACATCACTCTGTGCTGACAGCTCAAAGCCTGGAGCCTGCTTCTGATTCTGTCTCCGTCTCTCTCTGTTCCTCCCCTGCTCCTGCTCTGTCTCTCTCTCTCTCTCTCTCTCAAAAATAAATAAACATTAAAAAAGATTTTTTTAATTCCTTTGGTAACTTCCTTTATCTCACCCCCAAGATATATGCTGGCAATCATACTCCAAGCTTATGGCCCCCTGATATACATATGAAGCATCTCATGACTCAGGTTTTACTAAATGGTAATAAATGGCTTATTTTCGTAACAACACCCAGTCCCTTAAGGTCCTGGAAACCTTGCTTCCAAAATTCCTTAGAGACTTACTCTATCCCTAACCCCCTCCCAACCTGAGGGTATGTAACTAGCAACTCCTCATGACCCCAAGGTAGCTCTTTCTGCCTACAGGTCCTGTCCCCATGCTTTAATAAAATCACTTTTTTGTACCCAAGATGTCTTCAAGAATTCTTTCTTGGCTGTCAGCTCTGAACCCCCACCATCACCCCAATTTACACCTCTATTTACGCTGGGTCTCTTTTCCAGATTACAACTTCTTGTCCATTGGTCTGGCGATGTTAGGAAAGTTCGGAATTACCTCTGCTTTCTCCATGCTGTATGTCTTCACTGCAGAGCTTTACCCCACCCTGGTCAGGAATATGGCTGTGGGGGTTACATCCATGGCCTCCAGAGTGGGCAGCATCATTGCTCCCTACTTTGTTTACCTCGGTGAGATGCATCTTGTCAATTTGTTCTTTTTTTAAAATATAAAGGAATAACTTTTTCATTGTGAAAAATGCTAACAGCATAAAAGGTACTGGAAAAAGGGCAAGTTTACCTCTTCACTCTCGGGCAGCCCAAATCGCATCCCTAGAACTAAAAGGAGCTAATATTAACACTTCAGTGAATAGCCCTTCAGTTGTTTTTTATTGCAAAACATACACACACACACACATACACACACACACACACAAAGTATACACACACATACACATAAAATAAAATTAAACACAAAAAAATTGTACATACTGTTTCACAACTTTTTTTCCTTTTATTTAATTTATTTTTTTAAATTTACATCCAAATTAGTTAGCCTATAGTGCAACAATGATTTCAGGAGTAGATTCCTTAATGCCCCTTACCCATTTAGCCTGTCCCCCCTCCTACAACCCCTCCAGTAACCCTCTGTTCTCCATATTTAAGTTTCTTATGTTTTGTCCCCCTCCCTGTTTTTATATTATTTTTGCTTCCCTTCCCTTATGTTCATCTGTTTTGTATCTTAGAGTCCTCATATGAGTGAAGTCATATGGTATTTGTATTTCTCTGCCTGACTAATTTCGCTTGGCATAATACCCTCTAGTTCCATCCACGTAGTTGCAAATAGCAAGATGCCATTCTTTTTGATGGCCGAGTAATACTCCATTGTGTATATATACCACAACTTCTTTATCCATTCTTCCATCAATGGACATTTGGGCTCTTTCCATACTTTGGCTATTGTTGATAGCGCTGCTATAAACATCGGGGTGCATGTGCCCCTTCAAAATAGCATACCTGTATCTCTTGTATAAATACCTAGTATGTTTCACAACTTTTTAAACTTAACATTGTATCACAGTACCTTTCCTTATTAGTATATATAGCTCTTACCTTCTTTTTCATTAGTATATAGTCTTCTAATATACGTATATGCATAAAAATGTGTTTAACTAGGCTCAATGGATGGACATTTAGGTCATTTCCAGGTTTTTGTTATTACAAATAATACTACAATGAACATTCATCTATGCCCCTATGCCCCTTTGTTCATTTAATTACATACATTCAGATTTATGTATTGTTGGAGCAATTTAAAATTTCCACAGATATTGACAAACTGGCCTCTAAACATTGTACTAATTTACAATCCAACTATCAGTATATGAGAGTGTCTATTTCTCCATATCCTCACTAACAATGGGGATTATCCAATTTTTAAATCGTTGATAATCTGTTATCTGAAAAATGGATATCATTGTTGCTTTCATTTCTATTTTTTTAATTATAAATAAGGTTGAGCAGTTTTTCGTGTCTCTATTGACATTGCATCTGTTTTTCAGTGACCTGACTGTTCATGTCTCTTGTTCATCTTTTGAATGGTTTATTTTTGATTTGTAAGAGCTCTTTGTAATTGAAAGAAACTAGCCCTTTGTATATATGTTGTAAATATTTTTCCTAGTTTATCCTTCACTTTTTACTTAATAATATTTTTTTGTAATGCAGGAAATTTTAGTTTTTATATAATCAAAATTCTCAATCTGGAATAACACCACGGAGGGCTTCAGTGGGTTGTTCAATGGATGTAGGATCTGGCCCTCCAAGTCAGATCCCACTGAGGACTGATGGTGAGAGATGTTGATATACCTCCTTATTCTTCCTAGTCATCCTTTGGTTACCTACTGGTTCAAACACACACACACACACACACACACACACACACACACACACACACAGACTATATATTAATCCTCAGGAAAGGTACGTTCTAAATCTTCACAGAGAAAATGAAGCATTTTCTTGTCTTAAACATACTCTACATGGCTGCCCTGAACAACACCTAAGAAAGCACATTATTATATAGAATGGTGTCATTTCTCCTTTCTTCCTCCCTATACGTTCAAACCCTGCTCACTTGGTCTAAAGGGTGGACCATTGGTGCCTAAGAAACAGAGGAATCCAAGACAGAGCTTTCTATTCCACAATAGCTACTCCTGTCAGTGACATAGACACCTTGCAGAAGATTCAAGTTTAACGTTTTCTGTCAAATAAAATTCTTGGGTGTGTTGTTCCTCTGTAATCTCTGTATGCAGAAGGGAAGCAAGGTGAGGATCTATTATTCTCCTGTCCAAGGAATGCCTGATAAGGAAGAGGTGGAATGGCTCATACAATTACATACAAAACCAAGACATGCAAATGTTGCAGAAAGCAACCAAAGCCAGGCAGAATGCATTCACGGTGCCTGACATTTAGTGATTGAAATTGGATTGAACGTATTACTTAGGTTTTTTTTCTTTAAGAGTTTCATGGCTCTTTAGGGGCATCTGGGTGGCTTGGTGAGATTGAGCCCCACATCGGGCTCTGAGTTGGTCATGGAACCTGTTTAAGATTCTCTCTCTCTCTCTCTCTCTCTCTCTCTCTCTCTCTCTCTCTCCCCCCCCCTCTCTCTGTCTCTCCCTCTACCATTCATGCTCTCTCTCTCTTAAAAAAAATATTATTAAAAAAAAAAAAAAGAAGAGTCTCATGGCTCTTTGGACCTAGCTGTCCACTGCAGCCCACTTTTGCAGGCAAAAGCAAAGGCCACACCTTGTCACACCAGTCATAATGGCTAGTATCTGTCCCTGCAATATGCTTTCTCTCCTTGATGTCCTCTCATCCCTCCTCTCAACTTTCTTCCACCGTAAGAGGGAAAACTTGGTAGGCAAATAGTTCCATCAAAGGAACATGGGTCACACATGGTTAAACAGTGGCTTAGAGAATGGAACTGGCATGAAAGACCTTATGCAGCATCATGTAGGTAAATGAGTATGGAGATCATGAAGGCAATGACATCTGCCAAAGAGAAACTGTGATTGTGATATTTTACATATCTTTTTCCTTCTGACAATGTTCAGATTTAAAACTGCTCTCAAATACCATTGTTTACCATGATAAAAGGATTCCCAAAAGCATCTGAAAAATCCCTATATGTCATTGATGTTCTTGTTCCTTACAGGTGCGTACAACAGAGTTCTGCCCTACATCCTCATGGGCAGCCTGACTGTCTTGATTGGAATCATCACCCTCTTTCTCCCTGAAAGTTTTGGAGTAACTCTACCAGAGACCTTAGAGCAGATGCAGAAAGTGAAAGGGTAAGTGGAACTTTAAAAACTGATACCAAAATTCCTCAGAAGGAATAAACATGCAAGAATAGCTAGGAAGTTTCTGAAAAAGAAGGGTGGTAAATGGGGGGTAGCTCTATCAGATAATAAAGCATATTACTAAGCAAAGGTAATTAAAACAGTGTGATACTGGTGTAGGATAGAAATCCCTGGAATAGAATAGAGTTCAGAATTAAATCCAAGAAAATATGAGAAGTCAGTATATGCTAAAAAGTAGCTATTCAAAATCAGTGAGGAAAATTAGATTATTCAGTAAAAGGTGTTAGAGAACTCAGCTAGCTATGTTGTATAAATAAAAAAACTTGACTCCTACTTCAAAATACATCAAGATAAATTGAAGAGCAATTAATGTAAAATCATAAATGTTCCAGAAGAAAAGATATATATTTTTATAACCTTAGAGAAGGCCTTTCTGAATATGATATGAAAAGCAAAGAGAAATAAAGGAAAAGATTGCTATGTCTGATTGTGAAACTTTAGAAATTGTTGGCACAGCAAGAAAAGAAACCATAACTAAAAACAAAGGTCAAAAATCCAGGGGGAAAATATTTGCAACACACAGTAGGTACCTGGGGCTAATATAGCTAATACACAAGAAACTCTCAGCAGTCAGTCAGAAAAAGACCAACAACTCAGTAGGAAAAATGCCAAAGGTCATCAACAAGCAGTTGACAGAAAAGGAAATTTCAATGGCAGATACATACACGAAAAGCAATACTTTTCCATATTTATAAAGAGATACAAAATAAAATAGTTCAATATATATTTTTTGTCTGTGAGATTTTATGAGAGTTTTTCTCCTGATACCAACCACTTCTTACCCAACTAGGTGTCCTGTAATTTAATTCAATTCCAACCCTTACCACCCAGAGTTTCCATCAGAATCCACAGGTTTAAGAGCTCAGTCCCATAGGACTGCCCTCACTTTAGATGCTGGTGATAAATATGAGGTCCCCAGATTATCCACACTTCTATCCAACTTGGCTTCAGAGTCTGATGTTTCCACAACCCCTGTGCTCAAATTCAGTAATTGTCCAGAATGATTCACAGAACCAGGATAACACTCTCCTTACCATTTCAAGTTTATTATAAAGGATACATATGAACAACCAGATGAAGAGGTGAGGTACAAAGGGTGAGGTACAAAGAGGTGCAAAGGGTGAGGTCCAGAAGAGTCCAGGGTACAGGAACCTTCTGTCCCTGTGCAGCTGGGGAGCACTGCCATTTTGGAGCATGGATGTGTTCACCAATTCAGAAGCTCTCCAAACCTCGGTGTTCAGAGGGTTTTATGGAGGTTTTATCACATAGACATGATCAATAACTAATTCAACCTGTTGCCCCTCTCTTCTCTTGGAGGTTGGAGGGTGGGGCTGAAAGTTCCAGGCTGCTAACCAAGGCCTAGTGTTTCTGGTGACCAGTCTCCATCCTGAAGCTATCAACTGACCCACCAGGAGTTGCCTCATTAGAACAAAAGACAAGACAGTCCTATTACCCCTATCACTCAGGAAATGACAAAGGATTTAGGAGCGCTGAGTCAGGAACCAGGGACAAAAATCAAATATCTTTATACAATATCACAGACTGGCAGACAATTAAAGATGAGTGGTAGTGTGGGAGAAGTTTAGATTCTAGAGTGAAAATGTCTGGCTTCAAATCCCAAATCTATTGCATAAATGAGGGAAAATTACTTAACTTTCACTGAACCTCAGTATTTGCGTCTGTTGTACAGGAATAGTTCATATGCCTGTTGTGAGTTTACATAAGATAAAGTAACTTTAGCATCAAGCCATGAAAAACATAAATCTGTATGTGAGTAGATTCTGGTCCCTGAAGGAACATGTACAACAAAATGTACCCAAAACGTTGTTTCTTCTAATGATAGGACTATTTCAATATTAACTTTAGCTTGCCAAGAACTTCATGTTTACCACTCGATCCTTTCCTGAGGAGAATTGTAAAATTATAGAATACAAACTCTAGACTCCTGAGTTATTACTAGAGTTATGTTCATTGACTGGATAAATGTTTTTCAGCATCACTCTAGCATTTTAAGGAGAAGAGTCTTGACTAATTTTCTTTAGTGCTTATCTTATTTTCAGGTTCAGACTTAGGAAAAACACAAGAGATTCAACGGAGAAAGAAGAAAATCCCAAAGTTCTCATAACTTCATTCTGATAAAATTTCCACCCCATTTGGTGACCTGAAAAACAGATGCATAAGACTCTATGAAGAAACCAGTCTTTCCTGATGAAATGGACCAACCCTAAGGATTAACACTAAGATGACTTTGCTGTTGAGAAATGCTTGTCACATAGCAAACTCCAAGCCACTCTTCCAGATAATCCCCTTATTTTAAAAACAAACCATTTCTAGATAGTCCACCTTCCTAATTAATTCAATGAGATGGGTTCATAAGATTTTTTTGAAAAATGCATTGGTCAAGGACTGGTAAATTCATACAAAGATGAACCTTCATTTTCAAACATACAAATGCTATTCAAATAAAAAGAATGTCCTTGTATTAACACAACTATTAGGTGATAACAGTATATGTGTGTATGTGTATAAGTGAACTAGTACATTCAAAATTAGAGTAATTTTCGAAGTGAACCTATATATTGCTGTAACTAAATGATTATATGCACTATTCCTATCCAAAGAATTTCATACAATCCTTTGAGAGGAATTGATGGCAGATATTAATAGTGTTTTACAAGTGAAACACAGTAAGAGATCAAGAAACCTTGATATGTGGCTCATATGACCTGTTGGCCTTTACGAAGGAAACCAAGACAGTTCCCTGCTAAAATTCAGCGGCTATAACTCACAGTGTTTTGAATGGTCTGTATTTGTTGTGATCTTTTGAGGCGCATGATTGAACTTTCTGTTTCTTAAGACTGGTTGAAAAGGTATTTTGCTAGTAAACAGATAATCAGGAAAGCCACAAACCAGTTAGATTGGTAAAGATGGTTTGTATGCCCCATGGCCAAGAGACATCAGCACTCAGGAAGAAGGCTGTCCAAGCCAACAATCTGGAAAGACGTTTAAAACAGTTCTTTCCATTAATAGATTCCTTCCTAAGCACAGTATGCAGCTACATTCTCTCTGACCAGGGGTGCATCTGGTTCCATGAATGAGCAGTGTAAAAAATAATGGTCACTAATGGGGTAATGTGTTATCATAAGCTCAGAAAATAAATTTTAGGTCTCTGTCTTAACATGTTTTAGGCATGCTGAGATGATAACACAGCGAGGAGTTAATCCTGGAGGCTGAGGCAGCATGCTTTCTCTGAAAGTGGCTTCTGCGACAGCAGCACAGTGAAAAGCAACTGAGCCTTTGACATCCCCAGCACTACAGTGTGCTCAGAGAAGGAGGTAGCTCTGGTTTTTTATATGATGCTTGGTGGCATCATCTCCTAAAAATACTTATCCCCAAGATTAAATTTTCACTGAATATTTTGTAGAGGAAATTTTGATATAACTTCTTTAATAAATGGTGTATAGTATTTCAAGTTCCTTATCTTGAACTTTTCTGATTAACCCTGAATTCTTTCTCTTTATTGTTGTATTTCTAACACATATTTTATATCCTCATGACACACTGATCCTAGCTTTTGATTGTTACTTTAAAACCCACTAGAGGGGCGCCTGGGTGGCGCAGTCGGTTGAGCGTCCGACTTCAGCCAGGTCACGATCTCACGGTCCGTGAGTTTGAGCCCCACGTCAGGCTCTAGGCTGATGGCTCAGAGCCTGGAGCCTGTTTCCGATTCTGTGTCTCCCTCTCTCTCTGCCCCTTCCCCGTTCATGCTGTCTCTCTCTGTCCCAAAAATAAATAAACGTTGAAGAAACCTTTAAAAAAAATAAAAAATAAAAAAAAAATAAATAAAACCCACTAGCATATCCTAGAATAGTTTATGTCATGTCATTTGCACAGTTTCATCCACCCAGTGCTTTTTTCTCCCCCATGGATGCAGCCTGTCTGGATAATTTTTCCACCTACCTTGCTGGGCACTAGGTAGCCTGTCCCACAGACAGCAGGTAACGCTGTCTCCCAAGAAGCTCTCCTTGAACTTCCTTCCCACCGGTAGTGGCTGTTCCCTCCTCTGTGCTCCTCATGTACTTGTTACCCTTACTCAGTTGGGCTCTTGTCTTATTGCTTTCCAGAGGCTAGGGGCATTACCTTGTTTGTCTTTTTATCCTCTGTAGATCTGTTTAGCATAGTGTTTTCTTGCATTTAGCAAGCATTGATAAATATTTTAGTTGAAAAACTTTGTAAATCTAGCTTGGTGAATATGTTTGATACACAGACATTAAAAAATTTAAATGCGTATATCAAAAATGCTCTCAAAGCTTTTTCTAAATATGAAAAGTGAGGATTTTATAATTACCTTTTTTTGCTGTTTGTGCAGGTGCTTTATGTCTTCTGAAAATCTGTTTATATAAAGGCAACAAGTACAGGCATGATTATCTCTTCGGTAGTTCAAAGATCAAGTAGATCAATACATGCCCAAATACTATTTGATTAAACTGAAGATGCATTGCTGATTTTTAAAAACTACTTTTATTTATTTTTTTAAGTTTATGTATTTATTTTGGTAGAGAGAGAGAGAAAGAGAGAGAGGCAGAGAGAGAAGGAGGGGTCAAGAGAAAGAATCTCAGGCAGGCTCCACGCTGAGCATGGAGCCCGACTCTGGGTTCAATCCCACCACCCTGGGATCATGACCTGATTCAAAATCAAGCCACCGACCAAGCCACTGACCAAGCCACCTAGGCACCTCTAGAAACTACTTTTAGGGGCACCTGGGTGGCTCAGTCGGTTGAGCGGCCAACTTTAGCTCAGGTCACGATCTCGCGGTCCATGAGTTCGAGCCCCATGTCAGGCTCTGTGCTGACAGCTCGGAGCCTGGAGCCTGCTTCGGATTCTGTGTCTCCCTCTCTGACCCTCCCCCATTCATGCTCTGTCTCTCTCTGTCTCAAAAATAAATAAATGTTAAAAAAAAAATTAAAAAAAAAAGAAACTACTTTTAAAATTAGGGGTACAAAGCACTATCCTGCACTTACGAATAGCAATCTCAGACTGGCAGCCAATCTTACACCACATGTTCTAGAATCTAGTTTCTTGCCTGGATTCTGTTAGCATCCTAACTAGTCCCTCCTCCTTAATTCTGCTCCTGTCTTCCTTGAATCTATCCTCAGCATAGCAGTGTGGGTGATCTAAATGAGATCATGTCTTGTAGCACCTGGGTGGCTCAGTCAGGTAAGCATCAGACTCTTGACCTCTGCTCATGCATGATCTTATGGTTCATGGGATAGAGCCCCACATCTGGTTCCCTGGCTGACAGCATGGAACCTGCTAGGGATTCTGTATCTCCTTCTCTCTCTACCCCTCCCCTGCTGACACTCTTTCTCTCTCTCAAAATAAACTTAAAAAAAGTTTTTTTTTTAATGAGATCATGTTACTTTTCTACTCCAAACCTTCCAGTAGCTTCTCCTCTCAGCCAGGTGCTTTTCTTCCCCCCTTTATGCTCCCACAGCACATACTTTTATTATGTGAGTTATGTCCCACATCAGTCAAGTTTTTAAAAAGTCAAAGTCTTTACAATAATCTATACAGAGGACGACTACATGTCTCAGTTTTCCCAGAGGAGCCACAGCTGGCCCAGGGTGATTATTAATACCCCCCACAACCTTTCATGCTAAAAATGCTCCAGTTTGATATATAGCTCCTAGTTTGGAACATATATAGCTCCCAGTGTGGAGTTATATATGCTCACCAACTGATAGGGCCATATTCTGTGTGTCCCCACCCTATGTCTTTCTTCATATGTCACCTGCTTCCTAAATACTTATCCGACCACCCAGTCTAAAATTGCATCCTGTTCTCTGTCTGTCCTCAACTCACCCATTCCTGCTTCATTTTTCTTCATAGTTCCTGTCACCCTCTAACATCCTAACTAATTTACTTCTTCATTTTTTCAAATGTTCTTCTTCCTCCTGGAGCTTACAATTCCATGAGGGGCACTTCTGTATCCCCAGAAGTTAGAACAGTGGTTGGCACATAGCAGGTACTTGATAAAATATTTGTCTAAAAATGAATAAATAGGGGCACCCGGGTGGCTCAGTCAGTGAAGCATCTGACTTCGGCTCAGGTCATGATCTCACGTTTCATAGGTTCGAGCCCTGCGTCAGGCTCTGTGCTGATAGTGCAGAGCCTGAAGCCTGCTTCAGGTTCTCTCTCTCTCTCTCTCTCTCTCCACCTCTGCCACTCACACTCTGTGTCTCTCTCAAAAATAAACATTAAAAAAAAGTTTTTAAGTAAAAAAACATTAAAAAAATAAAAATGAATAAATAGGGGTGCCTGCGTGGCTCAGTTGGTTGAGTCCCACTCTTGATTTTGACTCAGGTCATGATGCCACCAGAGTCATAGGATCGAGCCCCATGTTGGGCTTGGCGCTAAGTGTGGAGCCTGCTTGATATTCCCTTTGCCCTTCTCCCCTGCTCTCGTGCTCTCTCTCTCTAAATAAAATAAATTTATCAATCAATCAATCAATAATGAATAAATATATTATGGTCATTATTATAGTTAAATTGGCAAAAGTAATTACTAGTTTTCAAATAAGAAAATGTTGGCCAATAAACATACCAAATAAGCATTCTGCTTTAGAAGTAATTGAAAGAATACTAATTGAAGTAGCAATGTGCTGCCATTTTGCAACTAACAAAAGATTACAAAATGATAGTGTTCAATAATAATGATTGTATGAAGAGATATACTTTCATATTCTTCTGGTGGGAGTGTAAATTGGATTATTTTTTCTGGAAAATAAATTGGCAAAGCATTTCCAAAGCCTTAGAATGCTTGGATTTTTTTTTTTTTTAAGTTTATTCAATTTGAGAGAGGTAGAGCATGTGTGTGAGTGAGTAGAAGAGGGGCAAGGAGAGAGGGAGGGAGAGAATCCCAAACAGGCTCTGTGCAGTCAGGGCAGAGCCCAATGCGGGGCTCAATCCCACAAACCACAAGATCATGACCTGAGCTGAAATCAAGAGTCAGATGCTTAACCGATTGAGCCACCCAGGCACCCCTGGATTATTTTTTTTAATTTATTAACTCCACAACTAGGAAATAGTCAGAGATATATGAACTCTTTATGCAGAGATGTTTATTACATTATTATT